AAGGCTTTGGCCGGAAAAGAGAAGAACAAAAATATGTCTGATGAGGATTGGGAGGAGCTAGATCTGGAAGCACGGGCATCGATTATCCTTTGTCTTAAAAGGGATGTAGCTTTCTTGGTAGACGGGGAGGAAACGGCTGCGGGCGTGTGGTTGAAGTTAGAAAGCACCTTCATGACGAAGAGTCTAACGAACCGGATCTATTTAAAATCCAAATTGTATACTTGCAAGATGGAGGAGGGCTCGTCAATTCGGGAGTACATCAACAAGTTCAATAGGATCATATCGGATTTGAAAGACATTGAGGTGACAGTGAAAGACGAAGATCAGACTCTTCTACTACTTCTATCTCTGCCGAAGTCTTATGAGAACCTAGTGCAAACACTGATGCTTGTGGGTGAAAATTTATCGATGGATGACACTAGAACGGCGCTTCTAGCGGATGATCTTCGAAAAATTGCAACTAGTGATATGGCCACTGGTGGTAACAAAGAACAAGCGCAGGGACTGTTTGCCAGAGGAAGAGGCAATGAGCGAGGAAAAGGCAAGGGAGGAAAGTCTAGATCTAAATTGAGACCTCTTGCGGGACGAGCGTGTTTCAAATGCGGTGAAGTTGGGCATTTCAAGGTTGATTGTCCTAACAAGAGAGTAGGTGGGAAAAAGAACAACAACAAGACTGAAAGACGAGAAGGCAAGGAAGAGGCGAGCTACGCTTCAGGGGATGGGAGCGATAAGGAATGTTATGTCGTCACGGATGGAGAAGATACCTCCGGGAAGTGGATTCTTGATTCTGGTTGCTCTTACCACATGTGTCCAAACAGGAAGTGGTTTACTACCTACAGGAGCATTGATGGTAGAACCGTATTAATGGGGAACAACCATGCTTGTAAAACGGTGGGGCTAGGTGATATCAAAATCAAGATGCATGATGGAGTGGTTCGAACCCTGACGGACGTACGATACGTTCCCGGCTTGCGGAAGAATCTCATCTCAGTCGGAGCTTTGGACTCCGGGGGTTGCAAGATTATAACAGAAAACGGAGTGAAGAGGGTTGTTCGGGGTTCCTTAACAGTGATGAAGGGTGTTCGTCACGGTAATCTATATACTCTCTCGGGTACGACGGTGACGGGAGATGCAGTAGTTGGAGATGAAGGAAGTGGTGGAGACCCATGTGAGCACACACGGTTATGGCATAGGCGGCTTGGGCACATGTCAGAGAAGGGTCTGGATCTGCTTGGTAAGGAGGGTTTGCTGAAGAATCTGAAGAAGCCTTGCATGGATTTTCGCGAGGACTGTGTGTATGGAAAGGCGCACAGGGTTCAATTCCTGAGAAGCAATCACAAAAGCAGAGGGATACTAGATTATGTGCACACGGATGTTTGGGGTCCGGCTTCGACAACTTCCAAGGGTGGTTCTAAATATTTTGTCTCATTCATAGATGATCATTCGAGGTATGCTTGGGTTTATTTCCTGAATCATAAGAATGAGGTATTTGAGACATTCAAGAAGTGGAAGGCGATGGTTGAGAACAGGACGGGCAAGAAATTGAAGACACTGAGATTTGATAACGGTACGGAGTATACAGACGGTGCTTTCAAGGAGTTCTGTGATCAGAAAGGGATTGCTAGACACTGGACAGTTAGATCTACACCACAGCAAAATGGGGTCGCGGAAAGACTGAACTGAACACTGTGGGAGAAAGCAGTGAGTATGCGATCATATGCTGGTTTGGGTAAAGAATGGTGGGCAGAATCGATTGCTATAGCTTGCTATATAGTGAATCGATCTCCACATTCGACATTGGACGGTGATACACCCTATCGGGTGTGGTCAGGGGAGCATGCAGATTATGAGAGGCTTCGGATTTTTGGATGTACCGCCTACTATCACGTCAATAAGGGAAAGCTTGACGCGAGGGCCAAGAAGGCAATTTTCTCAGGGTATGCAAAGGGCGTAAAAGGCTACCGCCTTTGGTGTACAGAAGATTTGAAGTTCGTGATCAGCAGGGACGTTACCTTTGATGAGAAGTCCAACCCCTGAAGCACTATGGGCATGTTAATTTGGTTGAGTACGCACTCTCGGTGGAGGAAGATGAGCCGGTCTCCTTCAAGGAAGCTATTTGAGACAAGAATAGTGAGAGTTGGTTGGCTACGATGGAGGAGGAGATGGAATCTCTCCGGAAGAACCAAACATGGGAGGTGATCCCATTGCCCATAGGAAGAAAAGCTATTGATTGTAAGTAGGTGTATAAGAAAAAGGAAAATCCTTCAGAGCTCGATGGTACGAGGCTAGTGGCTAAGGGGTTTGCACAAAGAGAGGGTGTGGATTACAATGAGATATTTTCTCCGGTGGTGAAACACACTTCTATTCGGGTGCTACTGAGTATTGTTGCTCATGGTGATCTTGAGCTGGAACAACTCGATGTCAAGACGGCCTTCTTGCACGGAGACTTGGATAAAGAGATCTATATGCATCAACCTGAGGGATACAAGGTTGAGGACAAGGAGAATCATGTATGTCGTTTGAGGAAGTCACTTTACGGATTGAAGCAATCTCCATGACAGTGGTACAAGCGATTTGACTCCTTCATGCTGAAACATGGGTTTTCTCGAAGCGACTATGATTGTTGTGTTTACATTCGGAAGCTTCGTAGAGGTGATTATATCTATCCCCTGTTGTATGTGGATGACATGCTTATTGCATCGAAAAACAAGGTGGAGATAGATAAGCTAAAATCTCAACTTAGCAATGAGTTCGAGATGAAGGACATGGGCGCTGCTAGGAAAATACTGGGTATGGAGATTAGAAGAGAGCGGGCGAATCGGTGATTGTTCTTGAGTCAGAAGGGCTACATAGAGCGGGTGATCGCGAGTTTCGGGATGCAAAGTGCAAAGTCAGTGGTGACCCCATTGGCTCCACACTTTAGGCTCTCAGGTAAACAATCTCCCACTACAGCGGAAGATAAGACACACATGGAGCATGTTCCCTATGCTAGTGCAGTTGGCAGTTTGATGTATGCAATGGTGTGTACATGCCCTGATATTTCACAGGCGGTTAGTGTGGTTAGTAGATTCATGGCGAATCCGGGAAAGACGCACTGGGAAGCGGTGAAATGGGTCCTGAGGTACTTGAAAGGTACCACGGATACGGGTCTGTGTTTTGGTGGAGATACATGTCAGATCGACGGGTATGTGGACTCAGATTATGCAGGCGATCTAGATAGACGACGATCTACTACTGGTTATGTATTCAGAATACATGGAGCTCCAGTTAGTTGGCGATCGATGTTGCAGGCTACAGTGGTACTTTCTACAACAGAGGCCGAGTACATGGCTATGGCGGAGGGAGTGAATGAAGCATTGTGGCTGTGGGGTCTTCAAGATGACTTGGGGATTGAACAGGAGAGCGTGAACCTATGGTACGACAGTCAAAGTGCGATTCACTTGGCGAAGAATCAAGTTCACCATGCTCGTACCAAGCATATCGATGTCAGGTATCATTTTGTGCGGGATGTCATAGAGGAAGGCGATATTTCCCTCATGAAGGTGCATACGAATGAGAATCCCGCGGACATGTTAACTAAGGTGGTCACAGGCAGCAAGTTCCAGCATTGCCTGGACTTGCTTCATATCAGCCCGTGTTGATTTGCCCGAGAGGGCATGGCCCTTTGGAGCGGTGATGGAGGTGTGGTGGAGACTATGTTGGAGAATAATTACAGAACTACGGTTAGCTTGATCCCGGTGGAGGGTACGTAGGCAGTCACAGTATAGTGACGCAGCTGGTTTGGCCTGGTTTGGCCTGAGTCTCTCTGGTGTAGTTCGTGGGGTTCTTCAGGTGTTCGTCCAAAATTTGAGGTCTATCAAATGATGTACGAGGTGGAGAATTGTGAGCGGGTGGAGCCCACCCACGTGATAACGCCGCCCGCCCCCTGCTTCCCCTGCGGCCGCGCACGCAGGCCCCACTCATCCGCTCGTTTCCACGTCCATGACGTGGACTGCTCGAGCACGCGCGCCGTCTGCTCGGGTTTCGTGCGCCCCAGGTCCGTGCGTTGAGCACGAGCGCGGGTGTTTTCCCGCGCAAGTTTTGTTCCCGCACTTTTTCACCCGCCAAATTGCTTCAGTCTCCCCCCCTTTTGTTTCCTATAAATAGGGGAGGGGTTGAGGAGTTTTAGAGTGTGGGGAAATTAGTGGGAAAAATCTCAAGTGGAGTTTTTGAGAGAAAAGAAAGAGAGGAAGAGAGAACTTGTATAAGTTTGGTATTTTTCCTCCATAGTAAAACCCCCTCCCGTGGACGTAGGCTAGTTTGCCGAACCACGTAAAAATCTCGTGTTTGTATTTGTCTTATCTGTGATTTGCCATAGCTTGTAGGTTCCCTCGATATTTCAGTCCTTGAACTGATGAGATGAAGAGTGTATATTTCACTTTGATGAAATATATCACTTTCGATTCTTGTTTCCTTTGAGAAATAAGAATTTCACTATCTATTCTAGTTTCCTTTGAGAAACAAGAATATAGAGGTTGACTTGTGCTTTTGTGACAACAATAGCCAGGGCTATCTCTCAGGTGATATCGCTTCCGCGGCGGTGGGCATGATTCCGCCCCAACACATCAAAATTGCAGCGGAAGGTATTTATAGAATCACCAAATGGAAGGGGGGAGTAGGTGAGAGGTAGAGGGAAACTGACGGAATTCTGAACGTCGAAATAATTTAGAGACGGGGAGAGGGAGAGGGACAGGGGTAAGCAAGGATAACGGAGGTAATAAAGGGATTTGGGCGTTTTCAAAGAGAGAGGGATAGGGGAAGGGGAGAGGTCGTGTCGGTGTAGAGAAACAGCAGAAGAAGAGAGATGAAGAGGCGGTTGCGAAGGGGATTAAAAGGGGAAAGTGTATATTTTGGATAAAATTAGAATTACAAAATTTGAAGGGGGTAATTTGGGTATACAAAAGTTTTGACAATGGTTTTCTCTTTTATAAGTAGTATAGATATATAGAAGGGAACGATATATGAAGGTCTTCGCCTGCATCTCCGCCGCTTTCCTCCTCCTTAGCATGTACTCAGTAGGGGCCACCCTTGAAGCAACATGCAAGCAAGTAACATCTCCACCAGTACATGGTTTTGACTTCGATTTCTGTAAGACAAGTCTTCAGGTTGTTCCAGGAAGTGAAAAAGCCGACACTCTAGGTACTTTAATTAATTCTTTATCGTACGCTTATCTTTTTTTTAGAGGCGCTACAGGCACACTCTAAGGCACACCACCAATCACACTCCCTCTCTCTACAGTGCAGGGGGGCCCACATGTGATTTTTTTTAAAAATCACATGTGGGGCCCCCTGCACTGTAGAGAGAGAGAGTGTGGTTGGTGGTGTGCCTTAGAGTGTGCCTCTATCATTTTTTTTTAAGGTTCGCTTTTTCCCTTTATTTTTTGCGTTAATTTCATAAGATCGCCCTTACGTTGTTTTGTTCAAACTTATAAGGTGGGCGGCTAAAAAAACAACTGAGTTATAGCTAGCACAAACTAGAGAGGTCGATTAACGGGCAGGTACCCCTATGATTTATATCAAATTATGATCTTTTTTTTCTCCTTCAGGTCTTTCCCTTATAGCAGCAAGCTTAGCGCTCGCCAACTTCATGCACAACCAGGCCAAGGCCACGGAGCTGCTGCGGGACAAGAATTTGTCCAAGCCGACCAGAAATATTCTCACCGACTGCCAAAGATTCTACAGCGACGACGCCGATGACCTTAAGAGGGCCATCGAAGCGCTCAAGTCCGGCAAGTTTAATCTCTCGGACATTAAAACTTATTTGGTTAATGCATCGGACGATGTCGAGACGTGCATTGAGAGCTGGGAGGATTTGGACCAAAAGTCACTGATGCCTAAAGAAGAAGACGATGCCGAGAAAATCAGCAGGCTTGCGCTCGCTGTTACCGCTTTGCTTCGTCCATGACCGTTTGGTTTTCCTTTTGCTGGTTTTAAGTTTACGATGTAGAATTGTGTGAGGAAAAATAAATCGTACATGCCGTGTTTGGTTTCTATGGACCTGTTTATGGATAATAAAAGTTTTTACATTTGGGTTGAGTTTGGGAAACTAGATGTAGATTTCAAATCAAAGGATTTGAAATTTACAAATTGAAATTCATAGATTTTGTTGCAGTAGGGGGCTTCACAGACACAGAAGATGTCTATACAAGAGTGCAGAATAACAATACTAAATAAACACAGTGAAGACAAATAAAACAGCACACAAGAATTTAACGTGGTTCGGTCAGTATGACCTACGTCCATGGGCGAGAACAGTAGAGAACTTCACTAATCACAAAAGAAAAGATTACAAAGGAGAGATCAGTCTCTAACCTCACTAGAGAACCACACAAAGAAAGAGATTTCTCTTTCTATCTCTCTCTTCTCTCTAACTCTCGTTGTCCCGATCGCACCTAAACCCTTCACCACTACCCTCTATTTATAGCCTTCAAGGTGTATGCATCTAAAAATACCTATAGGTGTCCGCACGCAGCTCGAGAAGAAGATAAGACGATGAACGTCATCATCTGAGTCAAGAAGGATTATCCAAGTGACTCAACGCACTCGTCAGTCAGCCCGCCCGGCGTCAGTCAACTCCAAGTGACCGGACGTACTAGTCAGTTGGCCCGCACGCGTTGGTCAGCTCCAAGTGACTCAACGCTCTCGTCAGTCAGCCCACGCGCGTCAGTGATCAACTCCAAGTGACCGGACGCATTAGTCATCAGCTCGCGCGCGTCGGTCAGCTCCAAGTGACCGAACGCGCTCATCAGTCAGCTCACGCGCGTCGGTCAGCTCCAAGTGACCGAACACGCTCTTCAGCCAGCTCGCGCTCATCAATCAGCGAAGCGTACAAGTCAACAAGACAACCAAATACACAAATCGGCAGAAAGTATAAGTCCGGAAAAGTCGGGAAATAACGAAAGAACTCAAACAAGGCTCGGAACTTGTGTGGCGCACGGGTCACCTCTTGGTGACCCACGGCCGCGCGAGTCACCTAGGGGTGACCCGCGGTGTGATCCGTCCCCCGCCTAAAGTTGTCCAGAACATCCAAAACGTATTTTTTGTTCGTTCCAGAGCATCTCAACTGATTGGATATCATCCACAAACATGGTTAGGCCATTGTCAACTGAAGATATGGCCAAATCTCTCATTCTTTTCTAAATACCTCGCATCTGGAGCCCTATAAATACAAGCCTAGGGTCTCCTTTCACGGGGGCGAATTATTATCAAGACGAGGAGGTGCTGCCGAACTTCAGAGCCAAGAGCCACGAATTTCAGCAAGGGCTAGCGAGGTCCTTGTAGGCATCAAAAAATGTTTATAGACATCTAAATACAGCTCAAGACTAAGAAAAGAACAATGTGCATGCCCGTGATAAAATACACTGACGCGTGTTAACATAACAACAGATGATGACGCGCATAGGCGCGGCAGCCTATGGTGACGCGCATAGGCGCGGCAGCCTATGGTGATGTGCATAGGCACGGCAGCGAAGGGTGACGCACGTATGCGCGGCGGCGAAGTGTGACGCGCATATGCGCGGCAGGGTATGGTGACGAGCAAATAGCAGGGTAATCTTCTATGTGTTTTGCTGACAGTTTTTAATATCTTTTGAGAGTCCATGTGGCGGTATACCAGAAGAAGAACGTGTGCTAACGTGGAGGGATGGTTATAGGCCAAGAAAAGTGGTATTTCGTGGGTTTAAAGTCGTGGGGAAACGGTTATAAACATGACTGAACGTGGCAGAAACTGCCTCCTTAGCCGCACCAGCCTACACTGACGCGCTAATGGCCACGACAGTGAAGACTGACGCGCCCAAAGAAGATGCGGTGTGTTGGTTATTTTGCTTCCATTTCCACTGTTATGCACCCTATCCCTATAAATACCTCTTTACACACGAAATCAAGGATAGAGAACAGATTAGAGCAGATAATCTTGGGCATTTGATTAACTTTGAGCAAGAGAGAGAGTCTTAATTCCTCAAAAAACACTTCCAAGAATCTTTGATTCCTAGAGATCTAAGCTCAGACTTGATCTTTGGAAGAGTGAACATCTTACACTGATAAGATATTCGCTTCAAATTCTAACTTTGATAAACGAAGAAAGAATCCCCAAAGCCTTTACAGTTCAATCAGAATCTTGTGAATCGGTGGTCCACGAGTTAACGCACTCCCGGCACAGGTAAAGTCCCACAAAAGCAGAAACCAATAAACGATTTTTGTATTATTTTCTAGAAAGTTATAATTTTCTTATTTTTTTATTGTAATTCGCTGTAAGCGACTGAAGTTTTAATGGATTCCACAATGAAACCAACTTTCGAAGAAAATAGTCCCGGTGAACTTCAGCATAAAGAAGGAGTCTTTCGAAGGGTCTGAAGCCCGTTTCCACCTTTCCTTGAGATTAGGCTTAGTCTTAATCTCGAGAAGAGTACTAATTTCGCTTGGTCGATATCAGTACTTCAACGAATACTTCCTTTGTGAAGTAGGAGCTCTGATCAAATACTTTTGTCAACCAGATCCGATTCGTAGGTGGTCCACGGATATCAACGTCTCTGACACAGGCGAAGATCCCACGATAACAGTGGGTGATAAACACTCGTTGTGTTTGTTTTGACGAGAGTTGTAATTTTTATTTTTATTGTGTAAGAGTCTTATAAAAAAACTATTTTTTTTTTCATTGTAACGACTGAAGTTGTAATGAATACCTCAATGAAGAAACCAACTTTCACCGTAAACACAAGGGTTGGTGGAATAGTGCATTTTGGGATTGGTGGAATAGTGAAGGGGGTAGGTGGAATGGTAAAGTTATGTGAACTTTATTTTTACATATGCAAAGTCAAAAATATACAACAGATTTTGTAATCACTTGTTTGGATGCTTTTATTTAATGAGAGTATTAGTACCTTTGTTTTGATGATGATTTACAAACAATCTCTAATATTATTTGTCTAGTATTTGTATTTGCCTATTAGGTATTCTAGACAAACAACATGTCGGAGGTTGGTTAGATTGAGCCTACACGATCATACCCATTGGAGGATGGAAGGAACATAGATTGAAGTCGTCACAATTCAAGTCAAGATTTATATCGCTTCATCTCCGCAAACCAAGATCCAGCTTAATGAAGACTTTCATCTTGGATACATTAGTTTAGGTTTATATTATATGTGTTAATACTTTAAAGCTCAAACTACACACATACACGTTTCGTTTTTATCGTATTATACATTTTTGAGAAAATAACTTGTTTATGGATTAAAGACTAAATTACACCATTTTATATCTTTTCCTAAGTCCATTAATCCATTTAAAATAAATATGCAAGTTTGTTTGTCAAAAACATGTGTTGTTAAGTTTTCATGTTTTTGGACTATTTTGTAAAATGAAGAGATTTCTCAATTGGGAAGTGAAAATTAAAAAATTCTTTTTGTAACATGTTTATTTTCATGTTTATAAACATTTCCCAAAGTTTTATATTTTTTTAGAATTTATTTATTATTTTGAAGGCACTTCAAAAATTAGATTTCATACATGAACAGTGTCTGTGCATGTTCATGAGTCGACTTATAAGCTCTGATACCAAATGAAATTACCCTAGAAATAATGAATAGGGGAATGTGCTAATCTAATCCAATTAAATTCTAATTTAAAAACTTATTAATAATTTATTTTTGTAAGTATGATATACAACTAATTATGAGCAAGAATATGCAATATAAATAAAGGGCGATATAAACATAAACTAAAATGCAAATATGATAGTGTGCAAATAATCAATACAAACACACAAAGATTATCACAGAGTTCAGTCCTTCCAACCTACGTCTCCGCTCCCCACTCCTGGGGAGAATCCACTATCACAATGGGTTTTCAACGTTCACCTAAAACATTTACACCTCACAATCTTGATTTTCTAGCTCACCGAAAACATTCATAACTCACACTCTTGCAATCACACTCTACATCCTCTAAGTGTTGGCCTAGACCATTTCACCTTCCTCAATGCTCAGATTTACAACCTCTCCCTAGGCTTTACTACTGACGCCACTCCTTTTGGAATCAACCCGTCTCTCACCATACACTCTTCTCGGTGTACAAGTGTATTACAAAGTGTATCTCACAATAAAAGCTCAATACAAGGTTTTTTCTCTACAATGGATGAGAACTCTATTAAACCAACTCTCAAAGTTACAATCCACAACCCAATTATACAATATGTGTAAAAATACTAAAGCTCAATGGTTGTGTGTGTAAACAATGAGAAATAATAAAATCAAACTCAAATTGATCTAGAAAATATAAATATAACAAATGAAGGATAAACAAGCTAGAAAATTGAGTTAGAAAAACTTCTCAATAACAAGAGTGAGAGATTGGCAAATTAAAAGCCCAAACGAATTTGATCTCCTCTTGTGAAACTTTCTTTACACGAAAACTTTTGAGAAACAAACTTAAAACACCCTTAAAAACTTTGTAAACCTCTTTTAAAACATTCTTGATAGATGGAAATGTTAAATGCAAGGGGGTATATATATGGTAAAAGAACTCAGCCCAAGAAAACAGCAAAAACCCATAAAAACAATAAAATAAATAAAATCTGGAAAATAGCTATAACTGTGCAACGGCTAGTTTATAAGTCGACTTATGAAAGGGTATAAGTCGACATATGTCTTATGAGTCGACTTGTACAAGTTATAAGGCGACTCAGCAGACGAAAACAACAAACTTGGTGCTCTTTGATTTGTGGCTTAACCGCCTTGAGTTAAAGATCATTGTTCTTATATTTTTGCTAATCTAGTTTTGATAATTTTCATCTTGCTTGCATAATATATTATGGATATGCTTAGTACACCTTGTTTTATATATATATATATATATATATCATGGATATGCACGGTGCACCTAGCTTATGTTATGTCATTAATGTTG